GTAATGTGACTTTCATCGGGTCACTACATGCCTCCAGAGCCTTCAACACTCTGCTCTTTAATGTTATAAGGTTATCAGTTTCCCCAATGGTCTCCTCCAAAGTCAGCTCCAACTCCTTCTCCAGGAACTGCACATCTCTGACTCGCTGATCTGATAAACAAATAATAATATAAAAAAACATCATTATAAACTTCACCACTGAAGTCGTGACACCCATGAACTCATCACTCTCTTCCTTTTGCTCCGCTTACCTAATCGCATTTTGTCCGTTTCTTGGATGTGCCTACGGGCTCGGTCAATTTCCATCATCAGCCGGACACATTTCCCTCTGAGGATCTCCGACTGGTTCACCGTGACCTCCATCGTCCTCAGATGGGTGGCGGCCTTTTCCTGATGTGGAATGTGCTCCTTTAGGGCAGACATTTTGTCTCCAGTTGTCAGTCACCGACAGTACAGACAGCTGGCTGGAACAGAAAATAATGAGACATCAAGTCAGTCAATGTTGTCTTTTTGGGTTAAATCTATTCTATTGTACCACAAGTTCAGTGGAAGGTTGATGGAAATATAAGCCCACAAGGTGTCAAGGTTACACACCCGTGGACCAACCTACCTTGGAAGATCTGTTGACCTGGAATTGTTAAAATTCTTCTGCCTTAGGTTTTCTTTAACAGATGTTAGCATCTTAATGTTGTACTACTTTCCCACAGTTGGGTGTTTATGCCTTTATTGTGTCATCTTCAAAAGCCTTTGAACTTATGGGCCCTCGGTTAAATGTATCTTAATCAGAATAGCTGTTACTTAACTACAACAGATGAAATTATGCCATTCTGATGAGCCAAAGTAGCTGCTCTCAAAAGGTGAAGCTCAGGCTCATTGAAATGGATGGTTTCTTTACTTAAACAATTTGAAAACTCTATTACTCTATTCCTAAAATAGTCATGCTCATCATATAATGGCAATTCTGATGCAATTGACCTAAGGACTCAATGCTAACACACATTCTTTTAGGCACAGTATATCTATATAACCCGCAAGCTGTGTAATATTTATTAAAGTTTCTATTTCAAGTGCTACTTTGCCTGTGTCCTAATGACATCAAATTTAAAATAAATATTAATTATTATTATTATAGCAGTAGAAACATTTCTCATTGCCTACTAAATACATGCATTTTTGCTGCAGTTTTATGAATTGTCCATAGTAATTGAAGTTAGATTACGTCATAATTACGTGTTTAACATCAAGAAAAAGTACTCAACTACAAAGACACAATGACTCTAAAAGATCTACCGAGCCAACGATGTTTGTAATAAAAAAAACCCTTAATATCTAGGTAGACATTTCACGCACAAAAGCTTTAACATTAAGTCGTAATTATTGTAAAAAAAGATCGACTGCAAATAGGTATTTAAATGTCACAAGTTCTCTACACAATAGTATGAAAGCGAAAGTTAAATATTCGACCATACCTTTGTTTAGCGGGACCTAGAAATTATTTC